ATATATATATATATATATATATATATATATATATATATATATATATATATTAGTTAAGATAGTATTTTTATTAGATTCATGACCATCTGATCTTCCAAACTCTAATTGGACAAAATAATAATCACCAATTTTTTTTTCAATAACTGGTGTGTATATACAACAGAAAAAATGCTATATATATATTTTTTTTTTACAAAAGTGCGTGCTTTGAAAATGTCTAGAGAAATTATTTAAAAAAAGATAGAAAAACTTCCCTCAAAGCAATGGATGCAGGATGCTTGAATGTAAACATCATGTTACTACAGCAGTTCTGCTTGCATGTTTATTCAAATTAAGAATATTCCATTTGTACACCAAACATGCATTCTCAAAATTTTTTTAAAGATATGCCAGCCAAGTATGCATTTTCATAATTTTCCAACTCTAGCTATGATCCATAGGTAGATTGACTGTGCAAGGAATTTTAATAAGAATTTGCTAAATTCAGTTTCAGTATGGTACAACTGGGGAAGAACTACCAAGAGTAGGCAGCCATCAAAAGCCGGCAGGCTTAATTCTGTGAGGTCGAGCTATCAAGCAGATCTCCAACTCCCGAAGGAGGTCCAATGCTACATCGAGCACTGTTATGTTTTTCGATGGCATCCGTTATCTTCTGGAACTGCAGTTAGATACAGAAGCTCAGCTATCAAAACTGTTTGTCAAATCCATTCAGATTAACTGAAACCAACAGATAATCATTTGTATTTTAATGCCTCCTTTTGCCATATGCTACGATTGCATTGTAGCAGAAAACTAAGCAACCTTAAGTCTAATAAGTAATTTGGCATCTTAACACACTCATGAATTTTTCAACCAACATATTTGGAATTGTACTAGGCAGGGACCATCCACTTTGAAAGTCTTAAGCACAAAAGTTGTGGTATCAGACTTGAAGAGTTTTACTGGACAAAACAGCATCACCTTCAGAGAACCAAAATGCATGGATTTGGATATTGTTGTCACTGTTAGAAGCGTCGTGAAAGAGATGAGACTGTTGTATCTGGATAAGAACATAGCCAAGCCCTTACCTTACTACTAACTAAAAAAAAGAAAAACACAAAAACAAAGGCTGGCACTTCCATCCTGTCACTTTTGTTTTACTTTTTAAGCTATATATCTTTCCTTGTGTTAATACAAGAAAGGGAAAAACAAGTTCCAAATGAACTAACTCTTAACACACACAAGAGGACAGTTCTGACACAATTCTCAAACTGTGTGATAATAAAATGAGCGTCATGGTGCCCTTACAGTCATAATCAAACCATATATTATATAACTTTCAGTACCAGTGGAAGAAAATAAATAAGCAACAAACCTTCACCAATTAAACTACTTCACTATCGCTGAAATTAGATACCTCTGGACTGTGCTTAACTTGCCATTATGAATGTAGATTTTACTAAATGTATATCAAGTTGAAGTTCCAACGAAGAGAATGAAAGCTAGTATGATGTCCAAACTAGATTATATCAAACTTCAATTTACATACAAGCAGAAATGCATACCTTAACTAGGTTACATGAGAAAGACTGCAGCAGTCCATCAGCACCACGGTAGAAATGAAAATAAGGAAGCACTCTTACATTCAATCTTTTGCACATAGGCTTGTTTTCATCAAAATTCACCTTTAGGAATAATATATCAGGGTGTTCCTCTGCTGTCTTACAGAGCTGAAAGATCATTAAAGGAAAGAACTTGGTATTAGTGGCTAGTATCACATCCAGCTAAAGATATAATATTCTACATCACATACATATGGATCCAAAGCTTTAAACAAAACAGATCAAAACCTGGAACAAATGTGATAATTACTCATAGGATGTCACTGGACATACAGATCAGAAAAGTTAACTTATAAATATCTACCAGAGATGTGGGAATAAAAAAATAAGTGATGCTAAACATGCCCATAGTTCAGGACATGTAATGAAACATGCACAAGTTAGTTTCAGCAATTTCGAATGCAAAAAAAAAAAGAAGTGGAGCTATAATATCACCAAAATATGTTCTGGGTGTTAAAGCACAAGTAACTTACATGCTACATAGGTGACATATGTACAACCCAAGTAACCTTGAATAGACTAAAGAGGTTCCTGGCAGGAATAATGAAGAAACAAAACAAGGTTTTGTCTGTAAAATTAATATAAAACTATAATAAAATCCTCTATCATATTTATCTTTGAAATTGAAATAGCTGGTTGCAAGAGCATTCTCTCATCCCCCAGTCAGAGGGACTTAAACTAGCAACATTTCTACTGTTTCCATGTATTATTTGATTGTGCTCGTGACCCTCCATATTGTTAAGAGCAGACAAATATAGGCAAAGAAGTTTATTTAATAGCATTCTAAGTGTGACTTAAAAAAAACAGTTTGATTCATTAAGAAAGGCTCCAAGGCCTCAAATATTGCTAAAACAACAAATAATGAATACAGTAATTTTTTATAAGTTAGTAAGGAGTGACAACAAAAAAGATTTGTTTTCTTCTAGGGCTTATGGCAGAATGGAGAGTAGCAATTTTGGCAGCATAGTGGGTCAGTGGACTTCAAAATTAAAGTGTTATGATGGTTAAAATTAGTCTGAGAACATATAAAAAGAAAATTTGAAGATATATAATAAAGAGAGACATTGATGGTGTTAACAAAAATGGTGAAATGGCTGGACTAAGTCTAAAAGCCAATATGATTAAAGGTAGAGGAGATCCAGAAAAAAAAAAGTCAATTCACAAGAGTCATTCAGCAGAAGAAACATGACGTGCAAGCAAACATTTAAAAATATACAAAATGCAATGTTCACCAAAATATTCTTTTTGGCAAAGGGTAAATTATCAGTCATCTGATAAACAAATATAAGCGATTTGGCCCAACAATGACTTAGAAAAATTATTAAGGAAAGAATTAGAAGCTAGAGAAGTTCGACGGACTAGTTCCAACCCAACCAATTATTACAAACCTATTGTTTCTTGTCCATCAGTATAGAAAAATTAAAGAAGAAAATGGAAATGTATAGGCCTCTAATTAAGTAAAAAATTTGAGGACCTATAATTTTTACAACAACAACAGAAGCAGGAAAATAAGCCTTAAGTCATAATCAGTGTTGGCCATATGTGGGTAAGCAACTGCATAGAAAGGAAACCTTATGGAATTATTAGTGTAATGACTCTGTCTATTAGAAGTCGGCTAAAAAGCTAAAACCTGCATTTATTGGTTAACACCTGTAGAAAGAATTAGTATTTTTCATTTTATTGTTTGTGACAGTGACCCAAAGAGAACTAAAGAAAACTCAAAATTCTTGGAAGTGGCACCCTAAATACTGGCTCTAGTTCATGAGCAGGTACCTTGGGTTTCGCTTCGGTTACATATAACTAGAGTAACCCTGTTTGGGAGATCTTAACCGGAATGGTGCGAGTAATTCTCACTAAGAAGTAGCAGGCTTTCGTGGTGATGGTTTGTTCTATTGGTACTTCTGTCACTCCTTGATGTAGTGCGGCAACCAAGTGTAAACTTTATGTACGCAAGTAAACTAGTTACCAGCGAATCGAATTGCATGTAGATGACAGGTAACCATCACCTTGGGAAAAAGGGCTCGGCAAGACCCGCACCAAGTGCCGTAGAACTCCACGACGACAAGCCTGTCACCTGCTTGGCTTAATGCGTCCAAGAACTCTTCCGTCGAATGAATGTCAATCATATTGGGCCCCCCATTCTTCTCCCACCACTTGGGTTCATCGGTACCCTCTTCGACGACCGCGCGCACCTGCATACATCACCAGCATCTGAACAACACTGCATCCAACAAACAACCACAAAACTCGAAAGATTCGTAGGGTGGGGGCGGATACTCTGTGACCAGACGATCGATTTGAGGGGCGCGGGAGGGCGGCAGAAAAGGCGGCGTCCAATCGGGACCTAGGGGACGGCTTTAGTCTCGGGGAGTTGGATTGGAGGGGAAGGAAGAGGAGAGGGAGGAGACGATTGTGCGAAGCGAGGAGGAGGCCGTGACGGAGCAATGCATCGGCCATCAATAAGGGGAGCGGAAGAAAGGGTATGCTAAGTAGGACCGATATGATGATCCATTCATCCGAAGGAAGGAATAAGAGAGGATTTCTTCGCTGATTTCGCCGCTTGTTATATCTCGTATTGTTCTTCCGCACTTTGTTTCTCTTCTCCGTTTGTGGGAAGGGGAAGCTCGCAACGTGGACTCGTTTAAGAGCAGACCGCATCTACTTGGTTGGTAAGCAGTAACTTGTCTCGTGGTTACATGAGACGAGGCCCAATTCAAATATGGGCCACTTGGATGAGCCCAATTCGAATGAATAGGAATTGCGTATCTAATACGATGGGGGTCAAAGCATGTTGGAAGCTTTGACCACTGCAAATATGTTGGGGGTCAAAGTCCAACATATCGAATATGTTGGATGCGACTCTCAGTAAATCACCACTGCAACGTAGAAGATAAAAGGAAAAATAAATAATTCCATCCAACAACTACGAAACCCTTTCTTAAACGTAGCTAAAGATTTATCATATGCCAGCATGTAAGTAAAAAAAATAAACAGTTCCATCCATGTCGGTCAAAGGACAAAAAAAAAGAGACAAAACAGTCGAATTTGGAGACAAACTTTTCTTATCTACCTGTTACGAAAAAGAAAAAAAAAGATTGATATTTTGATGAATCCAACGTAGTGCAGACCTGCGTGAGTAGAAATAATCCAGGTATCTCCGAAGTGAAAATGTTATGCTTCTAAGGTAGTTTCGATATGAATCAGATGTGGCTCCATGATGGCTCCGAGGTGGATCCGAGATGATTCTAAGGTGGATCTAAGATGCAGGTGTCAATCTCCCAAGGTGAAAGTATTATGCTCCCAAGATGGAAGTATTGTGCTCTCGAGATGACCCTTTCACAAAGACTAAGGTCAAGGGAGGTTTCCTGATCTGATCCGTCCGACGCTTAAGTTAATAATCCAAGATTCCTAAATGTGTATTCAAATAGCTCAAGAAAGGAGTGAGCTCCCCCATTTTTCTATTTAGGATGTATTTTTATACCTTAAAAGAGAAAAATAAAATTTATGATAGCCTTCCTTATCATAAAAGAAAAGAATTTAAGATTGCATATGGAAGATAAGAGAATTACCTTCCTTATCATAAAGTAAGAAAATAAAGTTTAAGATTGTCTTCCTTATCATAAAAAGAGAAGAAAGTTTATAATTATCTTCTTTACCATAATGAATGTGAAGAAAACTTGTGTTTTTCTATTTTGAATCTTTATACACGTAGGCAGATGGAGGATGACTTAGATCTCATATGGCAATCACGTATCAACTGACGATAAATTTCCTATTATTTATCCTCCTCGGAAGGCGTGTCTCAAGTCTCTTATGAGAGGGGTTCGAAGTATGTCCTTTAGTTTATCTGACATTGGAGCATTTGAGATCTTGTCTTGCAGGTAAGGTTTACTCGATTCATGTGTCTTAGGTATGTTGGGTTTTTGTTTCTACCATTGCAGATTTGATTTTCCTTACTTATATGCCTCGGGTGCTTTTGTCTTGTGCTTTTGTCATGACGAATTTGATATATTTTGGCTTGCACTTTCGCCATGATGGATTTGACACATTTTATTTTATGCTTTTGCCGTGGCAGATTTGGCACATTTTGGCTTGCGCTTTTATTATGATAGATTTGACACATTTTGGCTTGCACCTCTACTATGACGGATTTGACATATTTTGGATTGCGCCTCCATCATGGTAGATTTAACACATTTTATCTTGTGCCTTCTACTGTAGCGAGTCTTCATGCAAGCCGAGTTTACCTGACTCATGCATCTTAGGCATGTTTGGTTTTCTACCATTGTCATAGTGGATTTACGTTGGTTCAATTACTTGACTCGCATGCATTGAGCAAATTTGGTTTGTGTTTTTACCATAGCAAATTTACCTTAGCGTTGGTTGGGTTTCCCAACTCACACGCCTTGGATACATTTGACATGTACCTCCATCATAGCAATTTTACCTTAGCATGGTCAGGTTTTTTGACTTACACGCCTCGAGTATATTTGGCTTGTGCCTTTATTGTAATGGATTTCAAGTTTTTTTTCTCCACCGTAGTAGATTTTGGATCTTTTCACTGTGGTCGGCTTCAAATCTTCTCTCCACCATAGTAGATTTTAAATCCCTTCTCTGTTGTGATGGATTTCGGGTTCTCTTGCCATAGCGATCTTCAACCTTCTCTCTGCAATAGTGGATTTCAAGTTCCTTTTCCGCCATGATGGATTTTTGATTCTCCCACCATGACAAGTTTTAAATATTCTCTCCACCATAACAAATTTCAAGTCTCTTTTCCACCAAAAGAATCTTGGGTTTTCGTTATGTGGCAGACTTCAAATATTCTTTTATGTCATGACGGATTTATGTCCCTTCTCCACCTAGCAGATCACAAGTTTTCCCACCATGGTAGATTTTGGGTTTTCCCACCATGGTACGTTTCAAATATTCTTTTCCACAGTGGATTTCGGGTATTTCTACTGTAGCGAGCTTCAAATCTTCTTTTTCATCATGGTGAATTTCATCTCCATTCTTAGTTATAGTGGATTTCAGGTTTTCCCACTATGATGGGCTTGTTGAGCATCTTCTGCCTCAGTTGCAACCATAGCGTGTCTTCTTGGAGTGTTAGATATCTAAGGAATGGTTGGCTGAAGGACCTGCGATTCAAGCAATCATTGATTATGCAATACTATGCTTGATGATGCTTGACTCTTTGGAGCACTACAGGGTCAGTCGGGAGCATCATATATTTCTTGTAGTATAGGATCTCGTTCATCTAGCTTGGTTCCTCCTTGACCATAGCCACGTCGAGCCTCTTAGTGGTTCGGATCAGTAGTGTCTCGACAAACAGCCAACCTTGCCCTAGAGTCCGGGTGGATGCCAAGTAGGTGAGTGTATCAACTTGAGTATTTTCTTCATGAGGAACTTAAAACACATAGAGTCGAGAGAATTGTAAGCTAATCTTTGCACCTCAATGAGGTACTTTACCATAAATCTCCTTTACTTAGCTCACGATTAGTTGTGAGTCACAAAACATTGTTAGGTCTTGGACCTGGAGTTCTCGAGTGAGTCAAAGCAAAGTAGTGGTATGACAATCTACTGAATTTTATAGTAGGGAAGTAGGGTACTCCCTTGGCCAATAGCTCAACAAGCCTCTAGTGCCCCTCAGATATTGGTGACAATCGAGTGGGGGAACCTTAACGAGCGTCGATATTAGTGGTGGTCAAGCTGTCAACCACAATTGAGATGGTGACTTGTTGGGCTAGCTAGGGCAGAAGTGGAGCAATAGTCTACATCATACCCGCTAGCACCTACACCTGTTGAGTAAGATTCAAGAACGCCTTGGCGGGAATGAGTAGGTGGCCCGACGATGCCCTCGAGGGTAAGATGCCCAGGTCATTGAATAGATGCCAGTACTGCATCAGTGTATGCATTGAGGTGGATGTGTCTATGTGTGGAAAAGATGACTATTGTCCCACCTAAGTGAAAGTGATATGGGTCGGGGGTGGTGCCTCCTCGCTCGAGCGATTGTTTAGAGGGTTAGCTTGTGGACGCTTCTATGACATTGGGCCCTCCTTTTAAGCTCATGTGGTTTAGACCCATGTGCACAAGAATGTCCAAGGTGCCTTCAAGGTAGAAATGTCATTGTTTCCAAGGTGGAAATATTGTGCTTCCAAGGTGGGTTCGAGATGAATCTGAGATGACTTTGAGGTAGATCTTAGATGGCATCAAAGTGGACCCGAGGTGGCTCCGATGTGGATTTAAGGTGGAAGTATCGAGTTCTCGATGTAGAAGTATTGTGCTCTTGAGGCAGCACCTACACGAAGACCAAGGTTGGGAGAGATTTCCCAATATGATTCCTCCAACGCTCAAGTTAATAATCTAAGGTCCCTAAATATAGGTTCGAGTAGTTCAAGAAAGAAAAAAGTTATCCCATTTTATTGTTTAAGATTTATTTTTATACTTTGAAGGAAGGCTTTATCATTAAAAAAGAGAACAAAGTGTAAGATTATTTTTCTTATGGTAAAGGAAGAGAAGAAAGTTTAGAATTTCCTTTCTTGTAAAGGAAGAGAGGAAAATTTATAAATACCTCCTTATTAAATGAGAAGGGAGGTTATTTGTTTTGAATATTTATACTCGTAGACAAATGGAGGATGACTTAGATCTTATATAATAACCATGTGTCATTGATAGTAGATTCCGACTAATATATTCAATTTATATTAAGTAATAAAAAAATGACTAACTTATGTATAAGAATAACTAGTTTGGCTATTATGTTATTGTGGTATAAGAATAACCAACATATCGAAAGATGCAAAAACTGTTAAGAAAAAAAAGGTTAAACTAATATCATAAACCACTGGCAAAGAGAGATTTAATAATTCATACATTATGAAAAATAATGATCCATGAAACAGCTTAGTTGTATGCGAAAAAGATGCAAACTTTTTATATTGGGCACGTTGTGAATAAGAAAATTAGTGTAACAAAAGGTGGGGCATTTTGTTGACCTAAGTAGTAGAAGAAGAAGAGAACAAAAATGATAGCAATTGCAGAAGTTGTTGATGGGTTACACTTAAATTATTTAACCTATCGGATTAAGGCCTTCGCTAGGCAAAAATAAAATGCAAAACAAGAAAAGGGGATTGCCATCCATTGTCTATTTGGTGAGACCACCACAGTGCCGTGTGGTTTTACTGCAAGTGAATCAATCCATGGCAAATTCAAGATGGATGTGGACTTTCTATTTCTTTCTCACAGTAGATGGCAGATAATAGATTTGGATGGCAGATATAACCTAAAGATAGCTTGGGAGTCAACCAAATAGAAGAAAGCCAAATCAAGCGATGTCTAAGATGTTGTTCTTACTATCTTCATACGGTTGTGTGCCGATAATACTTACATGAATTTTGATTATCGCCAATAAAGTAGATATAATCTTGTTTTAATTCTTAAAAATCTATAACAGAGAGGCACATGAATTGATTGTATTCTAAGAACCAACATTTGCTCATGCAAGCTCTTCAACTTCTTTCGTTTGTACTCTTCGTCGTCCGAGGAAAATACTAAGAACATAATGTTCTTAGGTTCGTTAGTAGATCAATTAAAGATTGCCCTATAGAGATTTGGCCAAATAATACGTGATGATCCTAGAATTA